CTGTTTCCTCAGCCGGTGAGTCACAGCCCACGAAGAGGCACCACCGTCGCCACTCACTGGGAGGGAGTCAGACAGCAAAATGCCTGGCAACCTCCCCCGTAACAAGAATGAGGCTCTCGCCGCTCGCATCTATCAACATGTTCCCACCTTCTCCCTAGCGAGTGCTAGGGAGAGGCGAGACGAGTCTCCTCTGAACAGCCTGGATGCCTTCAGACCGCGTTTAGGCATTTCTGCTCCCAAAATTCCTTGGCAATAGGAATTCGAGCCCTTCGGCTGATTTCCTGCATACTCCAACAGGCCGATGCGCCCTGGTCCGTGAGTCCCGTAAGTCTGACTGTGGAAAGAGCTGCTGCCCATGCACAGCGCAGCACTGCAGCCCCTCCATGCACAGGTGGTTATAACATGAACTGCTGTATTAAACTATTTTATCATAAAATCATAGAATGGTTTGGGTTGGAAGGGACCTTAAAGATCATCTAGTCCAACCCCCCTGCCGTGGACAGGGACACCTCCCACCAGCCCAGGTTGCTCAAAGCCCCATCCAACCTGGACTTGAACACCTCTCCAGGGATAGGGCAGCCACAACTTCTTTGGGCAACCCGGGCCAGTGTCTCACCACCCTCAGAGTAAAGAATTTCTTCCTAATATCTAATCTAAATCTAACCTTCATGCAACTGTTCAAAGTCTGCCTTGACTTTAAACCCCATCCTAAACCACTTTTGCACATCCTTTTTGGAATATCCCAAATTCTTCCTGGTCTCAGTCACTGATGGTATTTACTCATTAATTTGCAGTTTTTACAGTAATGAGGTGGTGCAACGTAGCAGACAGAACTGCTCTGGGACGCAGGAGATCTGTGCCCTATTTTTAGCCTGCCGCTGGTCAGCCTAGTGACCTGGGCAAAGCACTTTCCCTGCTTCAGCTTCCTTATCAGGGAGAGACTGGTATTTCTTTCGCAAAGTGTTTTGTGGCCTGTCAATACAAACCACGCTGATAACAGCCAGGGGGTGTTGGGAAAGAGCCGATCTCCCGGCTGAATGCAATCCTCTCCTTTCCTTGCTGCGGTAGCATCGATAGGGTCCCAAATGAAAATCAGACCCACACTGCAGACAATTATCAGCGGTTCGTAAATACATGTTTTTCCAAGGTGGCCCTTGGCAGGTCCACAGCTGAGAGTCGCATCTGCTCTGAGCCACCCAGGTCCTGCTCTGACATGAAACACTGGGCTCTAAACCTTCGCTTTAAGGAGAAATAGTTGTTTCAAAGCCAGTGGAGAACTGACGCCCCCACTATACAGCTCATTAAGACGCAGCCGTAGCACACACAGCTCCAGAGTCAGCCTTCCCGGGGACGGGATGCGGGGTAGGGGCTGGCATTGCACAGCCCTCATCCCTGAGCGACCCTGCCTGGCAGGGAAGGAAGAAATTGCTGGTGCCATAAGCAAGGGTCCCTCTCTGTGAGAAAACGGGGCACCTGAGAGGTTACTTATGAGAGTTTTCCACTTTTGCTTTCCCTGTTTTGAAACTAGAAGGAAAAAAAAAATAAAAATCTGCCTCTCTCCCTCCCAGATCTATCTATTTCCTTTTGACAAACAGTGTTTTCATTTTTCTTCCCGTCCAGGATAATTTTTTTTTTTTTTTTCTCTTTTAAACTGAGCCCAAGCCAACGTGGCAAAAGGCTCTTTGCTCATGTCCTTATTTGTCACACACGCCATCACCGCGCCCTCACCACCATTCTGGGAACAAGTCCTCGCCTTCCCCAGCTGACTTCAGCCGAAGGGGAACTTCCCAACACAACTCTCCCTCAGCCCCAAAGCACTCTTTTTTTTTAATGTAAACATTTCCTTTTCTATTCTCTTTTTTTAAGCATTACAGTTAGTTTAAATCTCCTTTCCCTTTCCTCCCCAGCCCTGCTGTGAATCCGAACATGACAGATCAAGATGGGAAAACAGAAACTACAAGAAAATGCCAGACCTATTGCAAAGGTATTTCGCAACCCAGTCCTCCCCTGATTTCCATCAGAGCATAAGCACCTCAAGGGAAGTCAGATGCTAAAGTACCTTTTTGGATCTGATCCTAAGTGGCCCGTTCCACTGTCCAAATAGAGATCCAGAGATAAACAGGCCTGTGAAAACTGGGCACTATTATTTTAACTGCTGCTCTTAAGCTACAACTTAAACTGTAATAATCTGTGCAGCTTTTAGCCATCTGCGAACAGTAACGCACGAAATGATAATAAACTAAACATATATATTCTGCTGCCCTCATCAACTTAACACCTAGTATAAAATGCTTTACCTGGAGCCACAGCACACATTTCCTAAGCTGCCATCAGCACTCTGCCATCCAGAGAGAAATTTCTGTTGTAAAGGGGCTGATTTGCTGAAGCAGACAAATTTTAACTCGGGAGTAAATCTGGAGGGCTCGTGCCGGGTCCGCAGGGGCTGACCCGCCCCAGGCAGCCGCCTCCAATCTGGTCCACGCTCAGGAACGGGGTCATCTGCTCCAGCGCTTACATTGAGCAATGGGGAAACTGAGGCATGGAAATGGAGTGACCTGGCATCGGAGAGCAAGAATCAGCCTTGGCTTTGTCTTGTTAGAGCCCGATCCAACACATACTCATGAGATTCATGCCCTCAGGCAGCCCTGTCCTGGGGGCTGAGAAAGGATTCACAGCAGAAGGAACACAGCCACCATTCATTCTGCTCCTTCAGCACAGAACCTCTGTCTGGAGTCATGGAAATGATGGTGTTCAATGCACAAAGGCATCGAGCAGCTTTGTCCATTGCCACCTGCCCTTTTCCCTCATGTCTCTGGCCTTACGTCTTGCTTCAGCACGGCTTTTGCTGCTCCTGCAAGATAAGGAGCTGATCTTGCAGCACGACACCCCGCTGGCTCCTGACTTAGCCCTGGCTTTTGTCTGCTCCCAATCTCCTTCAAAGGATGGAAGGGAAAAGAAAGGGGAAAAAGGTGACACGAGAGCAGAGATTAAAGGCAGAGACCCGTGTTTGCAGTGTAGAGTACATCTGGGGGTGGTGACAGGCAGGAGGGCCGGGTACAACTGGCAGGCTCGCCCTCCTCCGAATGGGATGCCACGCGAAGCAATCTCCCTCTAACCAAGCTCCTGCCAAAACCCAACACTGTGAACATGGCTCCAGCCCCAGCCTCCCAAAGCCAGGGAGAAAAGGTGTGACAAATAGCAATTTAATGAGCTCAGCGGGGAAAAGCCGTCCCGTGGGGTGGTTCTACCAAGGGACACATCCCAGTGACAGCCCCGAAGGGCTCAGGCACATCTTTGGACCCACTGCAGGAGGGAGGCATGAGGAGCTGAAGACACAAGCCCCTTCCAATAAACACGGCGAGGTCCTCTCCTTGGGTGAAGCCTGACCCTGGCTGTGAGGTGCTGTGGTCCCTTCCCACTGCCCAGGTTCCCGCGCAGGCAGCTGTGCAGGCAGCGCCCTGCCCTCACCAGGAGCCTGCTGCTTCGCCGCTTCCCAGAGCAGTCTGGGAGCTCCCCTGCTCCCACAGGGTCCACTCTTCTCGAAGAGATAAGAGACAGAACAACACTTGCTGGGGAATTACTTCATTCCCCCAAGGCTGGGAAAAGCCATGCTCCACACTTGGCTAACGTCCCTGATGGCTGAAGCCTTTCCTGGCAAGGGAGAACATAATCCTCATTAACCCCTTCCCTCCCGAAGGCTGCTTACAATGCTGAACGCATTTCAGGAACACGATCAGACTCTGATAGCATCTGAACATCTCGCCACAGGCAAGAGATGAGAGGAAGCCCACGAGGGAGGGAAATGTTTTCTTTTTACAGAGATACAAAGTAGATGAATTGACTCTAGAGTCTGTGACGGGGTCAGGAACTAAGTCAGGTCTCTTGAATCCCATTCACTGCCTGCCCGCTAGCCTACGCTCAGGTTCAAATCCATCGAGGGACGCAGGACTGCCACAACCTTCCAGGGTCACCAAGGGCAGCCCGATGGCTGTGGATATGTGGTTACACAGCCCTCATCAGCCTCAAACCTAGATCACGCTCGCTCTGCTCTCACTACTCCTCCCAGAAGGCTCTTCCAGACTTTCGCAGCCTCAGAGCTTGAAAACTTTCTAAACACCAGCATGAAGATCCTTCTGGCAACTTCAGCCTCTCCTGTTCCTGCATCAACATTCACCCAGAGCTGAAATAGTTCTTCTTCTCTGGTGCTTATTCCCCAAACGTATTTCAAATTTGCAACCATACCCTCTCCTCAGCTTTCCTCTTGCTCAGCTAACAAGCCAAACTCTTCTGGTTTCCGCTGGCAAGATCAGCTCCTCACTCCTTGATCACCTTGACAGCCTGTCCCCACAGTCTGAATACATCTCTCCTGAATGTGCCTGAGCTAACACAACAGTGCCCAGCTCTCCAGGCAACCTGGAGATGTCTGCACAAAAGTGTTCATACCTTTCAAAGGTGTTCAAGGCATATACCTATCCACACAGGACATGCCAGCATCACCTTGATGCATCTCAGAAGCTGCACTTTCATCCAGATGGCAAATCTAGAGGATCCAAGCCAGAAAAAAGCCGGGGAAGAGGGTCTCAGTGACATCACTGGATCCTGGGCCAGGGTTTATTTGTTTCACTTAATTTTAGGCATCTAAACAAAGCACTTTTAGGATCAGATTACTGCCCTGAAGTCTCTCCACAGTCCATGGAAGGAGATGGCCCTTCCAGAAAACAATTCATTCTGGGAAGGTTTCACTCCCATCCGCCATCACAAGGACATAAGGCAATTAGTCTTCTAATTCAAGCCGGATGGGAAAAATCCTTTAATAGCCCAGCAAGTTTTGAATGGAAATATTCCCTGCTTGGGAAATACAGCTTGCTAAAGCTGACTTGGTTGCTCCTGACACATGATCTCTAACTACAGCCCTTTGCCACCTCATTTTATTATCATCCATTCATTTCCACAATTTTTGGATCAGTTCTTCTCAAACAAAAAAATTATTATCTTCTTACCTGCACATTGAAAGTAACGTCATCCAGAGGGGGCGGTGGGGGGAAGGCACCTTGTGATGATGTGATGTTCCCGAGATCATCCACCGGAGGTGGGGGTGGAGGAAAGAAGTCCCCTAGGAGAGAGAATGGGAGAACTTAAGACTCACCAGCATTTCCCCACATCACGACATGGATGATCGGGATGAACCCTGGAATACTCGCAGCTCCGCCATCTGGTTTGTGGCACAACAAGTAAGACATTGTTTAATCATTAAATGCTCAGCTGCACCTCTCACTGCTTCAGGAGATGGCTACAACAGCTTGGTAACGTTGGAATGCTGTCTAAAAGCAGGGATTCCCTGTTGCAGAAGACACGTGGAGGGCCAGAGCTAGAGACCAAAATCTAGACCAGCCCACCTCCTGTATCCCTGCTGCTGGCTGACAGGCAGCCACGCTCTTTGCATCTCCCTTTTCTTAGAGGGACCTCATAGCTTCAGGTAAAGGATAGGTGGGAAGATCACAGACTCTTCTCAGTGCCAATAGCCACATGATGGGCCAGTTGCAAGCTCAGAAGCATCCACCTCTTTTAACTCTGAGAAGGGTTTTTACAGGGGGCTGATGTACAAAATATCTACATTTAATCTGTTCATCTTAAACTTCCAAATGTGCTGACATGAAGACAAAGCAGCATACTGGCTGTGAAGCCATCCAGCTTAGTGTAGAGATACGAGACTTGAGAACTTCATGGGAGGTGGGGAGAAAATAAGGACAGAGCAGCACAGGCTGCGGGCAGCAGGACACCGGGCTCTGAAAGCACCTCCTAAGGATGAAAAAAAGGGCGTTTGCTGTTAGCACTGGATTTGGCTCCTGTGGAAGCAGCTGCCCGTAATTTGGACCACTTTGGCAGATTTCTATTCTTCTCATAAAGCTTGATGCTGCAAGGAGAGCTATTTGCTGTTGGCTGTCCTGGGTGCAGCATCTGGGATGGAAGTTCAAGATGTGATACTTCATGTATACAGGAACTGTTGCTTTTGGAGGGTTTTAACCCTTTTGGGAGGAAACATGGGCTCCTTCCTTGACCCTCCACATCTCCATGCAGTGCCACACTGCCTCCCAGCTGCATCCCCTCAGCGCCATCCCCAAAATACCACGGAGCAGGCTCCAAACCGCTCAGAGAGGTGCTGAGCCAAACCCCAGAGACACGCAGTCCTCTGGACCACCCATGGCCAGGTTCAAAGCTCCGGGCTCAGCCCACCCTAGGCATGGGCACCAGCCAGGCAGCACCACTGGCACAGCACCTTCATGCTCTTTGCCATGGGAAGCAGATGGGTCTGCACCTCGAAAGCTTTTCTGTTCAATTTCAAATCACTCTCTGAAAGGCACAAACTCCCCCTAGGACTTTTAGGGATCTTATTTCCCAGGAAAGTAATTTCTTCCCATTTTCCCCAAAGTGAGCATGGATAAGACTCAAAAAAACCCCTCTGAATCAATAAGAAAGTATCATCCTAAATACAGATGCATGAAGACAGTTCGAAAACAACACACTGAAAACTAATTTAAGACAACCATGTTGCTCCAATACATAAAATCCCATGAAACCTACTGGCTCGTGATATTATAGAGTTCAAGATTGATTTTTAAGAAAAATTATGTCCAATAACATCTGCAGTATCCTCCTCTTTGCCCTATAATTAATCCAATCTTTTATTTCAAATCATATGAAATACAATACAGAGTAAAAAGAAAAGAAGAAATATTTTGAAATTAATATCTTGGTGTTTAGTTCTAAAAAACGCTGGGATGTTTGAGTGCTAAGTAAACTTTTCTCCTTTGCTCTGAAAATGACCCTCTAACCAACGTGATTTTGCAAACAAATTCAACTCCAGCGGATACATACTTCCCAAAGAATACACTTCAGATCATGTTTCTCCGGTTAGTCCCAGCTCTGATGCCAAAGATTCATGTCCGCACACAGCACATTAGTCAGATACTCTTGCTTTATTACAACCCTTCAAAACACCTAAGCAAAATCAAGGTAGACAATGTGTTGAAGGGGATGAGACAGGGAGAGGGACAAGGTTTGTACATAAACAGAAGGGGAAAATAACAATTGCTATAACAGAAGGGGAAAACAATTATTGCTAGAACAAACACAAAACAAATACCACTTTTCCCCTTTGGAAGATCCATTCTTCACGAAAGAAAACAACACAACATTGGCAAGATTTTTCAGAAAAAGAGCAAAGGACAAAAACAGAGAAGAGCCCTTTTCTGGAGTTTGGAAGAAAACACTTTTCTTTGCAGCAGGAGACAGCTGGCTCTGCTGACTCCATCCTCTGTGTCAGATAAGCTGCTGGCTCCGCTCTCCCCACAAACGGGAAGGTTTTTAGACTGGGAAGCAGAGAGCAGATGCCTGATGAACTGGGGGGACCTTGCAGATGTTTGGCCTTTTCCTGGTCCTCTGCGAACAGATGGATTTTTCTCCTTCACAGCTTTAGTTATTTATTCTGCCACTGCACTTTCCTCTTTCCCACACACAGCCATAGGACCTGATGCTGTTCCCACTGCACTCGCGGGAGAGTATTCCCTCGGATGCAGGAGGGGAAGCTGTTACTGTATTATTATTATTGGCATTGCTGGAAGACTCCCTCCAGCAGAGAGGGAAGCGTGCAAAGACCGTAAAATCTGTGTCCTGAGCAGCGTACGGTTTTAGATGACGTGTGGAAGAAACAGCTCTATGTCTGAAGGAGTGAAGGAGAAAAAAACAACCTGAAAGCAAGCTTACACTCCATTTAAGCAGCATCTCCCTACAGACTGCTCCAATGCATCTTGGGGACCTTCCCTCACCCCAGAAGCTTTGTCAAGCCAGACAGATTTCACTTGCTTCGAGCCAGGCAAGCTGTGGGAGGAGGCAGGGAAGTCCATGTACAGGCAGAGCATATCAATGCCACCCACTTCTGACGGCCTCCAGCCCCAGCCAGCTACGTGGGGAGCCGACTGGGCAATGGACCGTACTCTGGTCCACATAGATACACCTGCGACCACAGGAAAAACGGGGCTCTGGGGTTAGCAGAGTTAACTGTGGGCTGGTGGAAGACGTGTCCCACCCTCAGCGCTCACCCTCTGCTGCCTGATTTAACCCTGCTGCCCCTCCATGAATAAGGGATACGATGGGCAAAAGGCTTATTAGCATTGATTGCTGCTCAGCATAGAGATTGGCCTTTCGGTTGACATTCACCCAGCATCAGCCTGAACACTTGGAGGTACTTAAGTTATGAGAGTGACTGCACTGAGCTCCATCAATGGAGACATATCAAGGTACCTCCAGGAGGCAATTTATACTTCAAGGCAGGTGAAATCACCTTCCAAAGGCAATTCCCCCTGCAGAGGCAGCCTGGGGCAGGCACGTTTGCAGGCAGGGAACCGCGTCCTGCCCCTCTGCGCGCTGCGGCGCAGCCTCTCTTCAGCTCTCACAATGAGAAATCCCTACCCATTACCATATGTTTAGAGGAGAAAATAAAACACTCCTCATCGCACCGGCTACTCGTTTCTTCTTCTTACAGCTGTGAAGAACGTGAGTCAACCTACGAAGGGGCTGTGTGGTGTGACACGTGCGTCAGCTCAGTTATTTCAGATACGACGGCGCAACGTGCCGTGAAACCGCAGCTCTGAGCTCTCCCCTCGGCGCCCGTGCCCACTCCTGCGCCGGAGCATCACCCAGCACAGCCATGAAAGATGACACGGTCAGCCCCAGTAACGCTCTCCCCCGTATTGTACAATCAAGCAATTATACAGAAATTAAGTCTGTTCATCACGGCTACGTTGGGAAACTATAGCAGAGCCACAAACAGAAGTGATGCCTCCCAAGCCCCAGCCCGGCTTCTGGCTCCAGTCAAATCTGCACCAGGCAGATGCATTTGCAAGGTTTTACCCCTCTCCTCTCCTAAATCTGCCCTCTTACACCTTCCAAGGAGATTTAGACATTTCATTATTACGCTTTTCAAATCTACAAATAAAAAATTGTTTCAAAGCCTTAACAGATGTGTAGATCAGCACGAGCCTGTCAGGCTGAATAGAAACTCTTAAAATTTTTGCCATTGGCTGCCTGATGCCTTCTGGGTACAAGTACAAGCTGAGAAGAACATCCTGCCTCATGCACTGAGCACCTTTCTCAGTCTAACCTTTAAATTTTTACGTCCACTTCAGTTTTTTGCATGATCAGGCTCGTATGCCTCAAGCTTTTGTTTTCGGGGAGATATACCTGCCAGTCAACAAATAAGTTGCAGCAGAGTAATTGCCTCCCCCTTTGACTGACACAGTTGTTTAGACATGAAGATTTGCAGCTTTGAAACTTCTAGACACAAAAAAGATCTCACATGTTCGATAAGAAGAGACTGTTTGGGGGAAAACCCTCGGAAACACAGAAAAGCAAAACATCATATTTTTCCCTGAAACAATAACTTAATTAAATCTATCAACCAACGAAACAGGGTTCAGACTAGTCTTCCCAGTTCTCTGGCAGACTGCTGAAGCCTATATGCCCAAACGTTTTTCATTTTTCTCCTTCCAAACAAAAATAACCCTTTCTCACTGTCATCTTGATAATTTCTGACACTGAAGCTGGTACAGAATCAGTTTGAATCATCTGAAAAACACAGCTCTCCCCTGATTTAGAGACCAGAATAAGGACAGTGATGGAGCAAACCTCCACTGATGTGTTTCCATTCCGACTCAAACAGACTCCATTTGGGAAAGCACTGAGGAGATACAGGCATTTCCCATTGCCCTGTCAAGTATTTAACTTCAACTGCAGAAAGCCAAAGTTTGCAATTTGAGAGTGATCTACATTGAAACAATTAAGATTTACACTTAAACTCAAATTCGTTTAGCACTGGGCTAAAATCCTTTTGATTGAGGCTACCATGAACCTGTATTCCACAATAACCACTGCAAAACTCTGCAGAATATTGCAGTATTACTAAGTTGTCTGTGAAACTTCATACTGCAGAAGTGACGCCACAGGACTTTTATAGAAAACTTCAGCTAGATATGACCCGGTGACTCTTAGGTGTGAACCTGCATCTTACTAAGTTTGCCAAAATGAACATTTTCCTGTAACATCTGTATTTAACAC